CTTTGGTTCATTCTATACGGTTGCGCCAATTTTGGCCACCCAACAAGTCGCACAAATAGCAGGATAACCCGCATGATAGCAGAGGGCAAAAGTAACGATTTGCTGGTACAACAAGCACGTTGGCGTTTGATAGGGGCTTTTGTGTTATTAGTCATCGCCCTAATTTTAGTGCTCGTGTTGTTTGATCGCGAGCCACCCAAGCGCCTCGAAGGTGTGCAGTTGCATTTTGCAGGCAACACCTCCGTTGTTGAAGTGTCACGTCGCGAAGTCAATAGCCGTTTGGATCGTGGCGGCGTAGCCCCAAATGTGACCGTACCTAAGCCTTCATCGGCTAAAGTTGCCAATAATGCTTCTTCATTGTCAAACCCAACCATCACATCACCAACCACACAGAAGCCCAAAGTTCAAGATGAGCCGCCGCCACAAGCAATTATTGAGCGTTTGGTCGATGATGATCATGCGGAACCCGCTGACCCAGAAAGTTTGACTAACAGCCAAGCTACTGTAAAACAAAAAAAAATGAAAGTGACATCAGAAAAATCGCCAGTAAAATCGATGTCAAACACACCAACTAAAGGTCGTTTTGTGGTGCGCATAGGTCATTTCTCAGATAAATCGCTTGCTCAAAGCTGGGCACAAAAATTAAATAATAAGGGCGTGCCCGCTTTTATTGAGCAAAAACGTTTAGCGGATGGCAATCGAATTCTTCTACGCGCAGGTCCTTTTACAGACGCAACGCAAGCAGAGAAAGCTGCGAAAACGGCCAAAAATATTGGTTTGTTAAATGCCATCGTTGTTCGTCAGTAACCGTTGTTAGTTTGGTGAATCTTAATCAGTTGCTGATTAACTATATTGAATTACTGATATATTTTACTTAGGGGTTGCTATGTGTGGTGTAGTAGGCGTGGTGAGTAAACAGCCTGTGAATCAATTGCTCTATGATGCATTGTTGTTGTTACAGCACCGTGGACAAGATGCTGCAGGCATCGTGACTGAGCAAAACGGTATGTTTTATATGCACAAAGCCAATGGCATGGTTAAAGATGTGTTCCGTACGCGGAATATGCGTTCATTAGTAGGCAGCCGTGGCTTAGGACAGGTACGTTACCCAACGGCTGGTTCGGCATCCTCCGAAGAAGAGGCGCAGCCTTTTTATGTCAATGCTCCTTTTGGTATTGTATTGGTTCATAACGGAAATTTAACCAATTGCGAGCAGTTGCGTGAAGAAATGTTTCGCGTGGATCGTCGCCATCTCAATACCAGCTCTGATTCGGAAGTATTGCTCAATGTTTTTGCTCACGAACTCCAAGCAGCAAGTCATGGCTTAGTTTTAGATGCGCAAGCGGTGTTTAAGGCTGTGGGAAGAGTGCGTGAAAGGATTCAGGGTTCTTATGCTGTGATTGCACTCATTGCAGGTTATGGTATGGTGGCATTTCGTGATAAGTTTGGTATTCGCCCACTGTGTTTTGGCGAACAAACAGTCGCAAGTGGTGAGACTGAATACATGGTCGCTTCTGAGTCGGTTGTGTTAGATAGTTTGGGCTATATCAATGTTCGTGATGTTTTGTCAGGTGAAACCCTTTATTTTGATTTGGATGGCAAAGTCCACAGCGAAGTTATCCCTGGTCACCTCCATAGCCCATGCCTGTTTGAGTATGTGTATTTAGCTAGACCTGATTCCTCAATTGATGGTGTTTCCGTCTATGAGGCGCGTCTTAAAATGGGTAATTATCTTGCTAAGCAAATTGAACGTGTTATTGATCCCAAAGACATTGATGTGGTGATGCCCATCCCTGACTCTAGTCGACCTGCGGCCATGCAAGTTGCCTTGGCACTAGGGATTGATTATCGTGAAGGTTTTTTTAAAAATCGATATGTCGGACGCACCTTTATTATGCCTGGTCAAACGGTTCGCAAAAAGTCAGTACGTCAAAAACTCAACGCATTAGCGATTGAATTTAAAGATAAAAATGTCTTGATCATTGATGATTCGATTGTGCGTGGCACCACAAGTCAAGAAATTGTTCAAATGGCACGTTCTGCAGGTGCCAAAAAAGTCTTTTTTGCTTCAGCTTCACCACCCGTGCGTTATCAAAATGTCTATGGTATTGATATGCCAACAAGTCATGAACTCGTAGCGCACAATCGAACGATCGAACAAGTATGTGAATATATTGGTGCAGATGCCTTGATTTATTTACCGCTCGAATCGTTAAAACTTTCAATAGCAGAGATTAATCCAAATCTTAAGCACTTTGAAGCATCGTGTTTTGATGGTCAATATGTGACTGGGGATATTTCTGCCGAATATTTAAATAATCTTGAAGCTTCTCGAAGTGACCGCCATGAAAAAAA